CTCGATTTTGCTAGGGCGTTTGATTCTGTGTGGCATGGGGGTATCTTGTTCAAATTAAAAGAATTTGGTTGTGATGCTCAAACTTGCAGATTAGTGGCAAGCTTCCTTCGGGGTAGGAGTTTCAAACTGAAAGTGGGAGACCACCTTTCCACTGAGAGATCGGTCCGAGCAGGTGTTCCCCAGGGATCTCTGCTGGGTCCCATTCTCTATAACATCTTCGTTAGTGACATGCCCGAACCACCCCAGGGGGGCTTGCTACTTCTGTATGCGGATGACGTTATCTTAGCAATGTCCGGACCTAGGGCGACATCTCTTTCTTCCCGCCTGAATACTTGGCTTGAGGACTTACATAGATACTTCTCTATGTGGGGCCTCAAACTAAACGTTGACAAATGTACGGCAATAGTATTCAAAGGTAAACCACGAGTCGTTTTCCCTAATTTCAGATCCTTCCACCCTATACTTAAAGTGGGGGACGAAATAATTCCTGTAAAGGATAAAATCAGATATTTGGGAGTTATCCTCTGTGAGAAACTAGAATTTATCAGGCACGTGGATTTTATACTTGAACGTGCGAAAAAAATGTATTTTGCATATCAGGGTGTGCTTCGACATAACGGTGGCCTTTCAAATTCCATTAAATTTCTTTTGTACAAACAGGTAATTAGACCCATAGTTTCCTATGCTTTTCCGGTATGGTTCCCCATTTCGTCGAGCCAGATGGAGAGACTTAGGAGATGGGAAAGGGCTATTTTAAACTATTGTCTAGGGCTGAGACCATCTATCAGATCTGATGGGTCAATTAGAAAGCCATCTTGTAGGGCAACATATGACACGGCTGGCATTGAGCGGATTGATCGGTTCCTCATGAGGGGGGCCTTGAACTTTGTACAGGGTGCACGGCAGCTGGAGAATAATTTGGTTGAGGATTCCCTGTATTGCCCATATGATGCAGAGGCTCTGCGCTCAAGAAAGCACTTCCCGCCAGGGTCTCTATCTAAACTCCTCGAAGAAGGTCTTTTATATAACGATGTAGATGAACTGTTATTTTACCACAGGAGGTATAATTCCATGAATATCGCTGATACCGTATATAAAACGACTCAGTAATCTTTGTAAATATTATTTTTCTTAGACCTAGTTTTTAATTAGATAGTAAGTAGTCTATAAGTTAATATAGTTTATTTTTTAATATTACCATGTCCTTGCCCTTTTTTACATTGATTTTTTTGGGGTTTCTGAATTTTGAATTTTGTATTTAATTTTTTGTATAATTGCCGCTGGCAGATTTCTGCAGCGTTTTAATATACTTATAGTAGATAGCGAATAGCCATATGTTTATTTTATTCCTAATTTAGCAGTAAGTCATGCTGTATAGATTTTAAGTATTTTATCAATAAATATGGCCTTAGGCAAAACGAAAACGATGGCAACGTTATTACAGTGTAAACCGTGTTTGTGTGCATATCTCTAGTGAAGTGAAAAAAATTCAAGTGAAAAATGGCTCGTACTAAGCAAACTGCCCGTAAATCGACCGGTGGAAAGGCTCCCCGTAAACAACTAGCTACCAAAGCTGCCCGTAAGAGTGCCCCAGCCACCGGCGGTGTTAAGAAGCCTCATCGTTTCCGTCCTGGTACAGTTGCTTTGCGTGAAATCCGTCGTTACCAGAAGAGTACTGAATTGTTGATCCGCAAATTGCCCTTCCAACGTTTGGTTCGTGAAATCGCTCAAGATTTCAAAACTGACTTGCGTTTCCAGAGCTCTGCTGTTATGGCCTTGCAAGAAGCCAGTGAAGCCTACTTGGTTGGTCTTTTCGAAGATACTAACTTGTGCGCCATCCATGCTAAGCGTGTCACCATCATGCCTAAGGATATCCAATTGGCCAGACGTATTCGTGGAGAACGTGCTTAAATTCTTGACGTTTTAAAAGCAACAATTTTACAACAAAACAATCGGTCCTTTTCAGGACCACAAATATTTTATAAAAAAGAGATAATTTTTTTTACTCAATCTACAATTTTTAGTATTTTTTTGAAATAAATAAAAATAATTTAGGGCTATGATTATTTTTCAACAATTAACATTTTTTATAATAAAGATATATTTTTTGATGTTGTTTTTTTTTCGTTGATGATTTTTCGACACTTTATTTTTTATTTAATTTTTTTTATTTTATTTTGATCGAATATTTTATTTTTTTAATTTTGTTTGAATTTTTTGAATTATCCATTTTGATAATTTCCTTTAATTTGCAAAATTATTATCATTTTTGTACTCCCTCTTCGAAAAAAAATGCTATGACTCATAAAAACAACCACCACATACATTTTGCTAACGGGATTTTTTTTTGTCCATTTTGTTTTTTTCCTTTTCCCGTTAAATAAAAAATTGCTCTCTTTATGATTTTTGGCGCGAAATTTGTCTATTTCTCTCATTTTATTCCCCTTCGATCATTTTTTTCTGTTGTGGACTATTCAATTTAACGGGAAAAAAATTTCTGCCTTTAATTTCTACGAATTATTTCATGTGAATTTTAAAAATTTCCAGCTAAAATGTGCCCCACGTATTTAATTTTTTTCAGGAATGATGTATGAAATATGTTTTATTCCTTTTCAGCAACATTTTTAAATGTTTTATACGCATTTTAAGAGATTTGAATATGAATTTTCTCCGTATGGAATTACAAAATTATTTTTGCCCGATGTATTTAGAGAAACTGGTAATAATTTATTATTTTCAAAAATCGAAGAAGAAAATAATTAATTTGTTCAGAATTTCGATGTAAAATATAATTAAAAGTATTATAAAAAGGAATTCCAATAATATCTACCTTTGAAGTTGATCGAAAATCATTTTTGTAAAACGCAATTAATTTCATGACATTTCCAAGTGTTCTAGGTGATATTTGCCTGTAAAGAGGAATTTCTTTTTGGGAATATTTTTTTATAAAATTAACAAAAAATTGACAAAATAACGTAGAAAATGGCTTCTAATACTATTTTTTATAAATTATAGAACAAATTATGTTAAAATTCACAAAAAATATTGCAAAATGAAAATACATAACCGTTTGTCAGTGAATGCCTGTACATTGGTAGTATGAAGTATTCTGGGGATTTTGTAACTTTTCCCCGTAAATTATGACTTTTTGTGAATAATGTTATATTTTGATGTAAATATACAAATTCTGAAATGTTTTTTAAGAAATTTTTATAAAACTTATTAAGATTTGAGCTTTCAAATTTATTTCAAGAAAAACTTTTCTTCATTGAAATTATGCCAACAAGAGGATTTCTGCTGTCATAGACCACATAATAATTTCAATTTTTTCACATAGTAAAATATGAAATTTCATCGATATTTTTCTTTGATCCTAAAGTAAACATATCAGGCTACATTTTCAAAAAGAATTTTCAATTAAATTTTCATAAAAAATTTGATTTTTTTAAATTTTAGTTGGAAATTTGTGATTACATTTTTATAATCTGCCAAGTTAAACGTTTATAATTCACAAACGGCAAGTGATAATTACACCAAACTTTCTTTAAAACATAGCCTGAAATCTATACTTTAAAGGTATAAAACATTTTTAGTGAAAATTATCAAAGCTTCTTCAGGAAAATTTAATTTCTCCGAAAACTTTTGTAAAAAATTAAACACGCTTCCACACAATCTTTCGAAAAATTTACCAATTGACTACTATGCACATCTCATCTTTTCGATGTACCTACACTTTAGCTCGCCGCTAACAAAAATAATAGTACACATAAATTTGTGAGTGTATTTGTGTTAACAGTGAAATATAAACCAAACAGTGAATAACCATGTCTGACGCCGCCGTTGTTGAAGCCACCGCCTCCCCAGTTGCCGCTGTTGAGAAAAAGGCACCAAAAAAAGCCGCTGCCAAAGCAAAGAAGCCATCAGCTGCCCCTACCCACCCTCCAACCCAGCAAATGGTTGATGCCGCCATCAAGACCCTGAAGGAACGTGGAGGTTCATCATTGCCCGCCATCAAGAAATACTTGGCCAGCACCTACAAAGTGGATGCCCAAAAATTGGCCCCCTTCATCAAGAAGTACTTGAAAGGTGCCGTTGCCAGTGGAAAATTGATCCAAACTAAAGGTAAGGGTGCTTCTGGTTCATTCAAATTGTCAGCTTCGGCCTCCAAGGAACCCAAAGCCAAGACTGCTGAAAAGAAGAAGAAGGCCCCAGCCGCTGGTGACAAAAAGAAGAAGGCTGCCGCCCCTAAAAAGGCCGCTGGTGAGAAGAAGGCAGCTGCCAAAAAACCCTCTGCCGCCAAGAAGACCGCTGAAAAGAAGAAGGCCGACAAAACAAAGGCAAAGGCTGCCAAGAAAACCGGTACAGTTAAAGCTAAACCAGCAAAGACCGCCGCCAAAGCATCTGCCACTAAACCAAAGGCACCCAAGGCAAAAACTGCAGCTGCTAAGCCCAAAAAGGCCGCAGCAGCAAAGAAGCCAGCTGCTAAGAAAACCGCCGCCAAGAAGTAATTTTTCCCAGAAAGATTACTTTTTCCACAATATTTTCGATATTCGAAAACATACTATCTAACAGCCCTTTTCAGGGCTACAAATTAAATTAAAAAAGAGAAAAATATTTATTTTCAACAGTTATCGTATATATTTGTTACCTAAAAAAAATTGTACACGTGTTTGAAAAAATTACTTTCGCTAATTACTGTTCTTATTAGGTAATTTTATTGAACCAATATAATCGTGGACGCCACTGGATTATTTTTTAACCCAGGTCATAAAAGATAATAAAATATTTAAAATTTTTCCTAATTACCCACAGGTCATAATTCTCGAAAATCCCCATAATTTGGTCATTTTTATAATTTCTACTTAATTTTGAAAATTTTGCCATTTTCATATTCTCTGTTAAATTTCACGAATTTCATCTAAAAATGACATTTTGGCAAAATATTTACATTTTCCATCAATACATTTTTTCCTTTGATAATTTCTGCCTCAGCCTTATATTTCGTTGCTTTGCCGTTGTGCTGTAACAAAATGCTCACACATACATGATGCCCATTCGATGTTGATCAACGACGGCAAGGCAAATCACCACTAACACACGCACACATACACGACGACTATGGCTGTTATAGCATATAGCACAAGCAAGCATAGAACCCAAGCAAGCAAAGGCACATATGCGAGTTAGCTAAATGCTTGGAAAAATCATTGTATAGAGAAAAATATATTTCTTATGGAATTTTATTCGTTTATTACTAAATAATGATAAATTGTAGCTTCAACAAAATATGATCTCTTTTGAAATGTTTTTTGTGGCCCTGAAAAGGGCCTTTTAAGGTAGTATTTCGACGCATGAAAATGAAAAATATCAAGACATTTACTTGGAGCTGGTGTATTTAGTAACAGCCTTGGTACCTTCACTGACGGCGTGCTTAGCCAATTCACCGGGCAACAATAGACGGACGGCGGTCTGGATTTCCCGACTGGTGATGGTCGAGCGCTTGTTGTAGTGGGCCAAACGAGAGGCTTCGGCGGCAATACGTTCGAAGATATCGTTGACGAAACTGTTCATGATGCTCATGGCCTTGGAGGAGATACCGGTGTCGGGATGGACTTGCTTCAACACTTTGTAAATGTAGATAGCGTAACTCTCCTTACGCTTGGTACGTCTCTTCGACTTATCGCCCTTGGTAATGTTCTTTTGGGCTTTGCCGGCCTTCTTTGCTGCTTTACCACTGGTTTTAGGAGGCATTTTCACTTATTATTTTTTTGAATCACACAAACACTTTTAACACTGTTCACAAATGATAACCAAATCGGCCAGCTATACAGAATTTGTAGATTGTAGTCGACAAGAATTTCAGGTAGTCACAGCTAGTAGGCACACACAAGGCAAACCACCCCATTATTGAAGAAATGTGTGTGTGAGAAAAGTATAAATAGCACGTTACGGCCCGAAAATTTTTATCATTTGTGTTTTTTCAGTGCTTAAGTGAAGTGTTTAAAACTAAAATAAAGTGAAAATGTCTGGTCGTGGTAAAGGTGGCAAAGTTAAGGGAAAGGCAAAGTCCCGTTCCAATCGTGCTGGTCTTCAATTCCCCGTCGGTCGTATCCATCGTCTGTTGCGCAAAGGCAACTATGCTGAGCGTGTTGGTGCCGGTGCTCCCGTCTATTTAGCCGCTGTCATGGAATATTTGGCTGCTGAAGTCTTGGAATTGGCTGGCAATGCTGCCCGTGACAACAAGAAGACTCGTATCATTCCCCGTCACTTGCAATTGGCCATCCGTAACGACGAAGAATTGAACAAATTGCTGTCTGGCGTTACCATTGCCCAAGGTGGTGTATTGCCAAACATCCAAGCTGTTCTCTTGCCCAAGAAGACCGAAAAGAAAGCCTAAATTACTATCTCGAAAGAAGGTATTATGGAATGAAGAAGAAGAATACAGACCATCGTATAATTCCATAGAAAAATCAACCAATCCGTCCTTTTCAGGACGACAAAAAATATTTGAAAAGAGAAAGAAAATTGCGTCAAGCTACATTTGTATGAAAAAAATAAAAATTCTCAATAATTTTCTGAGACGTTGGCAGAATAACTGTTTTTCGTTGTCAGTTGCATATTCGTTGTTGTTGTCTCTTATGATTTCAGGAATAGAGCGAGCGAGAGAGGAGAGATCGTGGCGTCACCAAATGAGTATGTATACTATGAGGAAGAAGAAGCATGTGGCAGTTGGTGGTGGCTTCGTAGTAATTTTATGTGAAAAAATCGTACCCCGGCGCATTCTTGGGGAAAGCATAAAGTAGAGGATTTGCAAGGGAATTTTGGCGGCAAAGTAGTGTTGTGGTGGAAATAAATGGACACATACATGAAAATAAAAGCGCATTGTGGTGCTATGGAAAATTTTAAATACAAAAAATAGAATAAAAGTAACATAATAAAATGAAAATTAACGAAAATAATTACAAAGAAAAATAAAATAACGTAAATTAATAATTAAATTAAAATAAAATAAGAAAATTTTTAAAAATTAAGGCAAATATTAATGAAAATTTTAGCAAATTTTAATGAAAATATTTGAAAATAATTTAAAGAAATTTGGAATAATAAACATATTTTATGAAAATAAAAGATACTTTAAATGAAATCAAAAAATTTTAAATTAATGAAAAGGAAATAAATTAAATAATTTTAAATTAATAATAATAATAATTTTAAATAAAACGAAAATGTGATTTTTAAAAAATAATGTAATGAAAAATTAAATTAATTGAAAATTAAATAAGAAAATTTAACATAAATAAAATAAAATTCATTTAATGAAGAACTTTTAAATAAAATTCAATGATTTTAATTTTCGATACAATTTTAAAGAAAATGATTAGTGAATAATTTACAAATTTTTAATGAAATTTTTCGAAATAAAATAAATCAACGATCTATTTAATAAATGTTTTCAACAATTTCAAATTAAATTTTGAGAAAGATTCAACAATGTTTAAAAAAAGTCAAAATGAAATTCCTTTGCTACCACAGCATGGTCGTTCTTTAGTAATATCGACTAAATAATACCAATACATACATAAAGCGACGCTATGTTATACTCATATTATACGAAAAGGAAGAAGAAGAACAACTAAATGTGTTTAGCGATGTGAGTTGCCGACGGCATGTTTGTGATCGGGAATAAAATACGAGACATCGGTAAAAGAAGGTTTTTGGTGAAAATATTCTGGAGAAAATTGAAACGAGTAAGTATTTATATTTTTTCTTTATTTGATTTTTAGAAATTTTTCACGAATTGTGAAAAAAAATACGAGATAGCTGAAAAAGAAAATTATTAGAAATTTTGACATAAAATTCCTATATTTCCTAAGGTAAGTGTTTATTTTTTATTGATTTTAATGATTTTAATTAAAAAAAAATAGTTTTCAACAAGAATGTATCTCTTTTTTGATATATGTTGTGGTCCTGAAAAGGACCGATTGTTTTGTTGTAAAAAAAGATTTCTCCAAATTGCGTCAAGAATTTGTTTAACCGCCGAAACCGTACAAGGTACGGCCTTGTCTCTTCAAAGCATATACGACATCCATAGCGGTGACGGTTTTACGCTTAGCATGTTCGGTGTAGGTGACAGCATCACGAATAACGTTTTCCAAAAACACCTTCAGAACACCACGAGTTTCTTCGTAAATCAGGCCAGAGATACGTTTTACACCGCCACGACGAGCCAAACGTCTAATAGCTGGCTTGGTAATACCTTGGATGTTATCACGGAGCACTTTCCTGTGACGTTTAGCGCCACCTTTTCCCAAGCCTTTACCACCTTTACCACGACCAGTCATTTTTTCACTTTAGTTTATTTCACTTATCACTTCACTAACGTTAAAGCACGAATGATTTTTTTCCGGTTTCTTTCTTTTATTTCCAATTTCTTTTGTTTACAAAATTTCTTAAGTCTAATTAACTTATTCATACTTTTCTAACGTATTTATATACTTATCTAGAATTATATCGATTATTTTAAATAATTATTGAACATTGGTTAAGGCCAGCCCATTCATTTGAATAACAAATTAAGATATTTTTATATATTTGTCTTGTGAAAAAGGAATAAAAAACACAAGTTTTACAATTACTTATTTCTACTTATATCTACTTAGAACTAATAAAACAAACATAACATAAAAAATAAGATTTAGATTTAATTTTAATTCATTGTTCAGTACTATATACTTTGTTGTTAAAGTCTAAAGTTTTGTATTTTCTGTGATAAAAAAGTAAGTTACCTAATTCATCATATATGTCTCCAGTGTTTGCTAGATTTAACAGACTCGTTGCAGGTAAAAATCCATTTATGGCTATCAATCTATTATATTCTTCATCAGAAATTATAAAATCTTTTACTATTTGGTTATTATGTGTACAACATTTAGTTAGGCAATCAATGGCTGTTCTAACAGCAAATTTGTCAAATCTTTCTATTTTGCTATCTTGATAGATTTTCTTGTTAGACGGGCGTTTATAAAATCCCTGCTCAGTTTGTTGCCATCCTAAACCTAGGCATTGGGATATTATTTTCCTTTCAAATCGACGAATACGTTCCATTTGATGTGACGATATTTGTGACCACACTGGGAATGCATAGCTCATTGTGGGTCTAATAATTTGCTTATATAATGCTAGTTTTATATTTTTATTAAGTTTTCGTCTTTTATTGAGTACCCCTAGGTAGGAATGATATGCTATTTTCCCCTTTTTTATTAGGAAATCTACATGTCTTATGTAACTCATGTCCTCTTCAAAAACAACACCAAGGTATTTCATTGTCTGTGTATTATTTATTATTTCATTTCCAATTTTTATATTTGGAATATATTTTTTGGCATTTTTGTACAGATTTAATCCTTTGCCTTTAAAAATTATTGCTTGGCATTTTTGTGTGTTTAGTTTCAGGTACCATTTGTCAAAATATTCCTTTAGAACCATTAGGAATTGGCATAATTTTTTGTTAGCTACCGTAGCTCTAGGATGAGTGGAGGTTGCCAAGATGTCGTCCGCATAAATAAGCATTTGGATATTAGCTGGAGGTTGTGGGATGTCAGCCAGATAAATATTATAAAGAACTGGCCCCAAAACCGAGCCCTGGGGTACTCCAGCACAAACTTGATGAATGTTGGAATTAATATCATCAACTACAACATAGAATTGTCTATGTTGCAGATAATTATTAATAAGTTTTATTATAAAGTGATTAAATCCATAGGTATTCTTCATTTTAGACACAATTCCTTCTCGAGGAACTGTATCAAATGCCTTTTGGAAGTCTAGACTGACAGCAATTGTAGCACTTCTTTTATTGAACCCGTTGCTAATTATGTTGTTTAATGCCAATAAAGCATGTGTTGTAGAATGTTGCTTTCTAAAACCAAACTGGGTGTTTTTTAATATGTTGCTGTTTTCAATGTGATCATTGAGTCTATCTAAAATAATAACTTCAAACAGCTTTCCTAGACAGGAAAGTAGAGAAATTGGTCTGTAGCCGTTAGGATCTGTGGGGTCTTTTCCAGGTTTAAGTATAGGTAAGACCTTTGCTGTTTTCCATTTTTTTGGAAAATATCCTGTATTTAAACAATGATTGAATATCACAGTTAAAAATAGCCATGTTCTATGATCTGTTTTTCTTAAAATATAATTAGGAATGTTGTCCTCGCCAGAAGATTTTTTATTATTTAGAGTTTTAATTATTTTCCCAACCTCACTTGGAGTGGTTAATTGCAGTGAAAGTCTTAGATGAGGATTAAGATTTCTTCCATTGGCCAGAAAGTTCTCACCAAATTGTACTAAGTTTAAATCAGTACTAACATGAGTGCCGAAATTAGTACTATTCGAGTTTTGGATATTTACAAAATTTTTAGCCAATAAATTTGCTTTTTCTTTATCTGTTACGATTTCATTTCCTGAGTCATTAAGATGCGCTATCTTTCTCTGTGTTAAATTTCCACTTATTTCCTTAACCTTACGGAACATGTCTTTTCCAGGACAAATAGTTTCTAATTTACTTATAAAGTTTTTTTCTTCAAACATCTTAATTTTTTGTTGAATAAGACGATCCATGTTTTTTATTATAGCCCTCAAGGTAATTGCTTCTTGGGGGTCAAAAATTCTATAGAGTCTCCTTCTTGCTGTTTTCTTTTGTGCAATTAAATGCATAATGTCAGGAGGAAGCTTAGCTAGACTGGTGCCTGAGGGAATGAAAGTTTTCATGGCAGAATTCATAGCTGTATTGAAAGCCTCTGTCAAACCATTAATTGCTTCATCTATTTGCACAATTTCTACATTTCTATCTAAAGGCAGCATATGACCTCGTAGTTCTGTTGCCAAGGTGTTATTTAAAACATTTAACTGTAGACTGTTAAAATCATATATTCTCTTAGGAATTTGTCTTACTAATTGAATTGGGATATCCATCATTA